GAGCAGCTGAGTCAGAAATGCCGAATTTAAATGTGCATGTGCTCCAAAGTGGGAGAGGAACAGCCCTGGAAACTGGGGAGGGTGCTGATCCTCATAGACATGGAAAACAGCAACAGGTTAAAGGGGAAAAAGAAACCACATGAAAAGCCCAACTAATGGCAGACCTGGCAGAGGAAACTCCTGCCTGGGGTGCAGGTTTGCGGTTTGCAGGTGTCTGAGAATCCCTTACAGAGGATTTACCTATCAGAGCGTCACCCTGAGCAAAACAAAGATGTTTCGCTCCTGTGCAGGAATCGTTCTTAAAGAATGAAACCTCGAGCCCAGCCAGCACTCTGGACAGTAAACACAGCATTTGTTGCCGTGTTCTGAAAGTTTCCCATCAATATTTTGTGTTTCTGACCTTGAAGTTTCGGGGTTTTGTCTATTTTTTTTCGGTGTTTTTCAAACTGGAGCAGCTTCTGTTTCGGTGCAATGTTCTTATTAACAGCTGATTGGATTCCTTGAACTGCTTCTTGTCCTCGTGTGCTTTTAGCTGCAGTCCTTTCTGGCTGAATTTTTGGGGGTAAAACTTGAATTCTGCCTGGTTTATCTTAAACCAAGGCTCACAAACTGCTGCAAATGGAAAAGCACTGCCAAGTTTGCACTGTGAAGTGAGCAGAAAGAAGGGAGCAGAGGGTGGTTCTTACTCAGGGAGGGGAAAAAAAAAGGACTTTAATTCTTCTATGATAAATTATAGGACATAAGAATAATTTATTGTTGGGTTTAATGCCTTTTATTTGTTATCAGACTCTGTGTAGCCTGTAAATTGCTCATCTCCTCCCCTGCTGTAACCCAGGCAGCTCTTCAGCCCATCTGTTGTTTTCTTTTGAACTCTGGAAACATCTCCTTTATCCATCAAGCCTGTGACTGCTTTTCATTCATTTCCTACTTTTAAACGTTCAGGATGAACCACAAAAAAAGCAGCTGTGAGTTCATTTTCCTTTCTTAGAGGGTTGTCTTAAGGGTAAAAACAAGTCAAAAGGCAACTTGTGCATAAAATACAGGTGGTAAGTTGAAGGCTGGGAGTGTTCATCCAGGCAGTATTAAAAATTTTAGTATAATAATAATAATAATAATAATAATAATAATAATAATAATAACAGCAGAGGGAGTTGCTTTTGAGAGCTGTTTTTTTAAATTGATCTGGAATTCTAAAAATCAGGAAATAAAAGAAATACACTGGGATCAGAAGATCTGAAGCCAAGGGCTCCTGCTCCCTCAGAGCATCTCCACACCAGTAAATACCCCCACATGTTTCAGTTCAAATGGCTCTTATTTGAAACATCATCCTCTGTCTGATGTGAAAAGGGAAGGGGGGGGGACTTTAATTCCCATAAATCACAAGAAGAATTCTCTTTGTCAATTAAACAGCTGGAAGTAATCTCAGAGTGACAAGTGTTAAAGTGCCTCAATCCAGGCAATTACACGGGTGATATCCCCCCTCTCCTGAAGGGGCAGGAATAAGTCAGGATGTTTTCCCAGTTCCCAGAAATCCTGCCGGTGGATTAACAGCCCAGAAAAGTGCTGGCAGGGCCGAGTCATCCTCCTGACAAGGCAAGTGAGGTTTTTTGACTTCTCCTCTGTAGGTCAGATCTGCTCCTCATCACAGGATGAGGAGGAAATCTTTGGGAAAGGGGGGTATTTCCCCCTTTTTTTTTACAAGTAAGTTTTATGTTCTTGTTGAAAACAGAAAGGTTTTGATAATTTCCCCCCCCCCCCAGCTTTTCCATCATATTGATGCAAATCTGCCAGCAGGTTTTTATCATCGATTCAAAAGAGGAAAAGTTTAAAACCTTCCTAATTCCCACCTGGATCCAACCTTTGGAAGCCTCAATATGGAATCAACTGAGGATGGAGTCACATGGAATCAGTGCTTGCTCGGTGAAGAGGAACCTGGATATTTGAGGTGATGTCATTTAGGGTCATCCCAGCTGAAGAGACGGAATTCCAGAGCGGAAGATTTAAAAATCATGGAATGGTTTGGGTCGGGAAGGACCTTAAAGATCAATCAGTTCCAACACCCATCCCCACGAATTTCTGCAGAGGTTCATGTCGCACAGATATTCTGGAATTATCCTGCAGAAAAAAATGGATATGAGCAAAAAGTGGTTTGTTTTTTTTTTTTCCTTTCCCACAGCCTGGCATGGAGTGGATAATTAGATCCGTAATTAGTAACACACACAATAATTGTTGTTTTGTTTATTTGGAAGCAGTTTGTAATTCTCTATCTACTAAAGGAATGTTAATTAATCCTTTGATGATCTCACTGGGTCCCTTCCAGCTTAGGATATTCTGTGATTCCATGGTTAATTTTGACACCTTTTCTGCCAACATCCCTTGGAGGAGATGCCTGGACATGTGAGAGAAAACCTTGATGAACAGAGCAGGGAGGAAAAATTCCATCAGTAAGATTGAATTAATTGCTTTAAAATAATGTAGAGTTGACACATTTTGAAAATATTTCATTGCTTTTATTAATTGTTGTAGTAGATTGAGCTTTTTCTCATAATGAAACTTTTTTTTATCTCCCGTTTTCCCCCCTCCACCCTCAGCCTGGAAAAAGCTGTTTGAACCACATTTCCCATTGATTTTTCTCTTTTATTCTGGTAAAATACGTGTTCTTGAGCAACAGTTTCATTTTGAAGGGCTGCACTTGGGTTTTAGAGCTGCAGTGGCAAAAACTGTGGAAGCATCTAGAAAGATATTTGTTACATTTATTATATTTATTCATTTCTTTTGCCAGCACCTGCCACTGCTCCCCAGCAGTTTTATTTCACAGCAGTGCTGCCTCATGAGTTATGAAAAATAAAACAACTTTAATAAAACCCCCCAACACCTAAAATATAAAACAACTTTAAAAAAAAAAAACCTAGTTTTGTCTCTCCACCTGCAGGACTTTCTGCCTCATAAATTAAGATGTTTCTTGACTCTAAATTCAAATCTCACCATTTTTTTCCCCCCTTTCTTTCCTCATCCATAAACCTGGAAGCAGCAAATCTTGCCCTGCACGTGTTGTGGAGGAAGGTGCTGAGTTTTACAGTGGAACTGGTTATGGGAAATGCAATAAATTTTTGTGTCAAGCCCTAAACTATTCGCAGGATTTAAAGCACAAACTCTCCCAGGGGTTGAATCCATCAGGGCGAGAAAAATTCCAGTCCACTGTCCCGTTTTGTGGAAGGATGGGGGTGGGAAGGGATCCCAAAAATCTTAAGGACAAATTTCAAGTGCCACATTTATGGAATAAAGCAAAGCACGGCTAAGAAAAGGAGGAGATAAAGGTGTTTTCCTGGCTCTGAAGGCATCGTAGGGTTCACAGCTCGCCAGCAGAATAAAAGGGAGGAGGTTTAATCCGTGAGGAGATAAGGAGGAATTTTGTATTGAGAGGAAACAGCGCTTTTAACTCAAAATACTTTTGTCACAGAGCAATTTGCTGCGTGTCTTTGCACCCAGTAACTCTTCGAATTCAAAGGCTTTTCAGAATGGCTTCAAGTGCTCTGTTAATGTGCAAATGCAGCTCTGTGGAACAGCAAATGAACCCAATTATGATAATTCTCCTGCAGCTTCAGCACTTTTCGCTCTGTGTGTTTATCAGAAGCTGCATTTTGTGTTCAGCGGGTGCCACAAAGAGGAGAAAGCAAAGTCTGTGCCCCCACTTTCATCTCTCTGGAGCAGAGAGGGAGCTGAATTTTAAAGCATCCTTCAGCGGAGTGCCCTGAATTACATCAGGGATCCCAAATCTGGGGGAGAAACTCTGTATCCAAAGTGCAGGGAAAAGTTATTTCCCGCTGATCTCCCCAGCCTTGAGAATAAACAGTGCTCAGTCTTTCTCTGGGATTCTGCTCTGAAACGTTTCACCTGCTTTGGGAAAGAAGAATCCCAGTAAAATGAGTTTTTCCTGCAGTGCCACATTAGGAGATTTTTGAAGAGCTGCATTTTGACTGCACAGTTACATAAATGTTCAGCAAAACTGCTCAGGAATTGTCTTGGTGAGTATTTTTATTCTTAACACTGCAGTTTCTTCCTTACCGGATAAAATATTTCCATACGTGGTCCGGGAACTTTGAAAGAATTTAAATATGCGCAAAATCTTTTTTTAAAAGCCCCATTTTACAGAACACAGAGCTTTCCCCAGCTGATGCTGGGCTTTGTCTATGATATCTTTATTTTAAGCTCATCACAAGATGTGCTGATGCCTCAGACTTGGAACAAATTTTCATTCGCCTCTTCAAGAAGAGGCAGCTTGAGGGAAGGTGAAGATTTTGGGTCAGAAGTGGAACTTTTATGTTGCCTTTTGTTTCAAGTCTTAGTTTTCCTGAGAGATTTGCGGGAATTTTCCTGCTCTTTCTGCTGGAAAATTCCAGCAGCAGCTGGTAACTGGGAGAGGGGACTGAGTAGGTGACAGGCAGGGTGATGCTCCTGTCCTTCTCAATTCCCTTATAAAATAATGGAATTGTTTGGATTGGAAAGGACTTTAATTTCAGTCCTCTGGGATGGGCAGGGACACCTTCCACTGGACCAGGTTGCTCCGAGCTCCATCCAGCTTAGCCTTGAGCACTTCCAGGGATGCAGCATCCACATCTGGGCAGCCTGATCCCTCCTTTCCCGGAGATTCCCTGGATGTCCAGGATTTGCGGGCTCGCAGGCCCCGCAGCCTCCTCCCTCCCGCCGCGTCAGCGTTGCCAGGCAACGCCTAAAATGGCGGCGCCCGCGCAAGGCCCGCCGGGAGTTGTAGTCCAGCGCCGCGCCACCCCCGCGTCCCGCCCCTCACGCGGGACTCGCTCTCCCATCACGCCCCGCGGTGCCGCGCCAAGTGCCGGGCGAGCTCATCTACCTGCGGGCAGCGGGGCACAGGTGGGGCGCGCCGCGGGGGCTGCTGGGAGTTGTAGTTCCAAGCGAAGGAGCCGCTAAGCGAAGCGGGGCGCCGGGCGGCGGCCGCGGGACTACAACTCCCAGGGGGCAGCGGGAGCGGCGGGCAGGGCGCCGGTGGAGGGCGGGGGGTACGAACGGGAGCCTCGGCGGTGCTGCCGCGGTGGGGGCTCAGGTGAGGCGGCAGGTGAGGAGCGGGAGAGAGAGCAGGAGGCGGGAGCGGGCACGGGAGGTGACCCCAGGGCCGGGCGGAGAGCCCTGGGCGGTGCCCCATTGTTCGCAGGGTCCCGGAGTGGGATTGGGGTTGCCAAGGGGGGGCGAATTCCTGGGGGGAAAAGCCCCCCCTTCCTCCCCGATACTCTGGGAGGGCGGAGGTGGTTTGGGATGAGGGCGAAGATGGGCAGAGTCGCCTCCCTCGTTGGCTCTTGGTACGTTTGGGAATGAATCCCCCTCCTTCTCATCCCCACTAAAACTCTGGGTACTTTATTTCCTAATAAACCAACTCAGTTTTAACGCGATTTTTTTTTTCCCGACCTGAGATTTTTGGGGGTTGTGAGCATTTGGTGTTACATATTTTGTTTCTTTGGAGGTTTCTTTTTGTTGCTTTTATGTTGTTTTTTTTTTTCCCCCTAAACTTCCACTCAATACACTGATTTTTTTTGTTGCACCGTTTTGGGGTAAAAAAGCCCCCAAACCCCTTAAAAAGGCCACATAAACATTGGGGTTATTCAGCCCGGAGAAAAGGAGTCTCTGGGATAACCAAACTGTGGCCTTACAGAGCCTGCAAAAAAAAAAAAAACACGGAGAGGGACTATTTACAGGAGCTAGAGTGCCAGGACGAGGGGGAATGGCTTCACCCTGGCAGAGAGGAGGGTTAGATGGGATATTAGGGAGGAATTATTTGCTCAGAAGGAGGCCCTGGCACAGGTTGCCCAGAGAAGCTGTGGCTGCCCCATCCCTGGGAGTGTCCAAGGGCAAGTTGGAACAACCTGGGCTAGTGGAAGGTGTCCCTGCCTGTGGCAGGGTGGTGGGACTGGATGACTTTTGAGTTCCTTTCCCACCCAAACCGTCCCAAACCAACCCACCCAAACCATCCCATCCCAAGGCAGGTGTGCAACAGCTTTCTGCAGCAAAGCCTGGCTCAAGGTAGGTGCCACTGGAGCGGGAGGTGTGTGGATTTAATTGCTGGTTGCATAATCCTGGCGATGGAGGGGGTTCTTTTCACTTGGGGCACGTTCAGAAAGCTGGAAAAACGAGTCCTCCTTGAGCTCTCGTTTGATAAAAGATTGTTTTGTTCCCTCTCTGATGTTCTGCCACGCAGGTTTGTTGGGAAACAGTTGCAGTGTCGGTGAGGAATTGGCAGCTAAACCGCAAACCTCGGGGGTTTGGTGTTCCCTGAGGAAGATGCAGAGGGACTCCTGTGTGCCTGTGAGCTGGTAAGTGAGAGTTTAAACCTTTACAGCCCTCTGAGACTGCATTTTGACCTTTCTGCTCTCAGGATTAATTCAGGGCACGTCAGAATTAAGAAGGCTTTGAGGGTGGAACAGTTTCAAACTCCGACGTGCTGAGGGAATTACGAAACCACCTGAAATTCAGGGGAAGTTTCTTTTTCCAGGTGCCTGAAGAAATAAATCCCCTTGCTCAAAATAAATAATAACAACAAAAAAAAATGCTCCAGCAACACTTGAAGCAAGAAAGATACTGCTAATACAGCAGAAATAATGGATACACAGAAACTGCAGGCAAAAGAGATAAATTAAAAGAGTGGGAGGAAAAAAAAAATCTTCCAGTGCTTGGTGTTTGTGAATTGTTTGTGTTTCCTTTTTCAAAAGCAGCCAGAGGAAGAATTCCCTCAGTGGATGTGTTTCACTTGTGTGTGTGTGTGTTGTGAAGCTGACAGTGATTTGAGGTTTGTTTCAGATGGCAAAACTCTGGTGTGAAATCCCCGTTCGAATCGAGGCGTCTGCGTTGGCTCCCGAAACACAAACACTTCCTAATCTGGGCTCTGCTTCGTGCATGCCATTATCCCTTCTCCCACAGTCCAAAGGGAAAAACCCTGCCAAGATGTGAAATGTGGGGGTTTTTTTATGCTAAATAGCTTGGCTGGGGGGGGTTTGATCCCGATGAGATTCACGGATCGCGGAATCATGGGATGGTTTGGCTTGGGAGGTACCGTAAAGGTCATTTTGTTCCCCACCTTCCAGCCACTTCCAGCCTGGCCTTGGACACTTCCAGGGATGGGGCAGCCCCAGTTTCCCTGTGCCAGGGCCTCACCACCCTCACAAGCAGGAATTTTTTTTCCCCAATATTTAATCCAAACCTTGCTCTCATCCTTCATTTCCAAGCTAAAACTTCAGCTCCTCTCAGGCAGTATATATTGAATATCTTGAAGGCTTTAGGGCTTCTTTTTTTTTTTTTTTAATTTTTGCTTTCTAAATTTAAAATCAGGCTCTAAAATATCGACCCAGTGATGTTTGATCGTGGCTGGAAAGCAATAAAAGAGTTGAGTTCTTTCCATGGTTCTGAACAGTGAGGCCAATTAACTGCACAAATCCCTGCTGGAAGTTGCTGCCTTGGAATCCTGCCCTCGATTTACTCCCTGGCTTGGAGGTCACAAGCTCTTTCCAAGAGCTGTGGTTTTTAGGAGCAGTGTATATGTTTTTCTTCTTGTTGCATTTAAAGGATACAGATGCTGAAGGCTGATATTTTTCATGTGAATTATCCTTAAAAAAAAAAAAAAAAAAAAAAAGGGCAGATATTTAGTATGACCTTCATGGCTTGAATTCCTGCCTCGTTCAGAGAGAGTTCTATATTATTATATGTTATTATCCTAGTTCTATGTTATTATATGTTATTATTCTAGTTCTATATTAATAAAAATATATGTCGTGTCAATAGGCTGCTAATTTTTACTGGTTGATCAAGAATCCACCAGGATGTGAAGAACTAATTCTGGGACTTGAAATTAAATATAAATCAAGTAAAATATAACATTTCTCTCATGTTTAGGAGCTTTAAAACGGCTTGTTCAGCCCAGCTTTCCTTTCCCAGCCGAGCACCAACCTGTGTAGCTACATATTAAGCTCAGATATTGCCCCTTCTCTCATGGAAATAAAAAAATATTGGCTGATGATTTGAGGGCAGATTGATCCCACGTCCCATTTGTGCTGGAACAGCTGCAGGGCAGATGCCCTGGGTTGTGGCTGGGGAACAGATGCCTGCCCATCAGTGCAGCAATATTGGTGATTGGTGACCTGAGTTATTGCAGGGATGGAAATACAGCCAGCATTGAGCTCATGGCTGCATCCCCCAAAAAGGAGGATTTGGCACTTTAAAGTGGCTCTTTTCCACAAATATTTGATCATTCAGCACGACTTGGGTGTGGAAATTATCTTGCTAGGTAAGAAGGATCTATTGTTTCAATAAACCTGGTTTTTCTTAGTGTTTGCAGCTGTTATAATAATCAGGTATTGGCAAAAAAAACTCTGTGCAAAGCATCCCAATCAATGAAACAATTGATTAGCAAACGTTATTTCCAACTTCAAACCGTTTTCCCCGCAGGAGTTTTTCGGCAGCCAAAGGAGCAGGATCTCATTTCTGAAGGGAAATCGTAGAAAACTGATGATAAGACAAGCTCCCCGAGTGTGTCTCAAATTGTTTTAATATTACATAATAATTAACAAACCATAATTAACATTATTTTGCTTAAACTGGAAAGGCCAGGACAGCGCAAGGTCTTCCTGCTCTGCCCCAGATTCGGAATTGAGTTGGAACAGCAAGGCTGGAGTGTGGTTTTCAGGATTTTCAGCCCTTGCTCTTGGAGCTTTCACTGATACCAGGGGATCATAATAAGTTTTTCCACCAAGCTGAACTAATCTTATTTTGAAGTTTGAAGCTCGAAGTGATTTAAAAAAAAAAAAAAAAACAACAAACCCATCCGGAAATGAATCACAGGAACTGCTCAGTGATTTTTGTTCTTCAGAAGAAACCAACTTTGCCGAGGGTCATGATACAGTAATTTCAAACACAGCCAGTGGGTTTCCACTGAACAAAAATAGTAACAAATTTCAGTTTGTGAAATGAGTCACTGAAGGAGTTTTCCCTGACAGTTGGAGGCTCTTTTTTTTTTTTTTTTTAATTTCGCTTTGCTCTGTTTTCAGGGTCTTCTCTGTCCCCACGTTTGATTTCTCAGGAGGGAGACTTATTATCCTAAATCCAGGCTGCTGGTTTGATCTAGAATAAGAAAGGCTGGTTTTTCCTAAACCCAGACTTCTGTGGAGCAGAGAAGGGGCAGATTTCTCTATTGACGCTGCAGATCAAATGCGATGTGGTGCCTTTGATTTCAACCCAGCATTTACTGATTAATTTCTATTTATTTATCTATGCATTCATGTATTTCAACCAATTTAATGCCAGAAACGCGGACCTGGGTGGAGTCAATCTGAGGTGCAGACTGACCACAACACTCTGTTCCAACTCGAGAAGGTCACGTCTCAGATATGCACTTAATTAACGGCCGGGCTTCATCAACGCTTCACACCTCGTTAATGCTTCGTGGCTGTGCTGCCAGGGGAGAAGTGAATCGCAGTGGTGCCTTTCCTGGATGCTGCGTGCTCCGTGTGCTGCTCCCAGTCCATCCCAGTTCCCGTGGAGCCCTCGACTGGGGGGTTATCACTGGTGGTGCCAGGCAGGAACCGCTCGTGGCAATGCCCATTGATTTTTTTCAGATCCGGGGTGTGGAATAACCTCTGCATGGCCCAGTTTGGAGCAGGCTGATAAGGCTCCTTGTTTCTTAGCAACCCCAGCTCTGCCACAGCCAGGAACCTGCCCTTCTGCAGCTGCAGGGGAGAATTCTGAATGTCTCAAAATCAAATCTCCAACCAAGGTAAGTCCTTTCCCCCCCTCCCCGCCCTCCCCGAGCTTAATTTAAATTTGCCTCCAATAAAAGGGACGTGTGTGGGGGCAAAAAGCTCCTTAAGAAGGGCAAAGCACAACTTCTGTGTGGTTAATAAGTCATTTATTTTCCCTGGTTTTATTCAGACCTGTGTCTTTCCTGGGCATGGAGGTGCCATATGTCCTTCTCCTAACACGGCTGGTGGCAGAAGTTGCCAGCAAATCCACGGAAAGTTCGGTAGGTGCTTCGTGGTTTTTGCCTTCCCAGGGTGCTACAAAACCAGAAGGATTCTTTCCCTCTCCTGCTGCAGTTTAGAGAAGGCTGTTTAATTCAGCAGAAATTACCTGGAGTGCTATAAAATGAGCATTAAGTGCCACTTTTCTACTTTTTTGCTCTGGTTGCAGGGAATTCACCCTGGCCATGTGCATGTAGGGCTGCAACTGCTAAAGCCTCACCTAAAAAAAACACCTTAATGATCAAAAAACCCCACTTTTTAACCTGCCTGCAAACGATCCCAACCACGAGTCCCCAAAATTAACTTTGCAAACGACTGAGAGGAGCTCTGAAGCTTCAAGTCACAGAAGAAGAAATTCAGGGCGTAAAATTCTGCTTGAAGGGAGGGTTCAACCAACAAAACTTCTGAAGAAACTGGTTTTAAGCATTTTATCTATACATCTCCTTGGTTTTTACCGTGCTCCACCTCCCCTGTGATGCACTTGCAGTGTGAAATCACCCTCCCAATTTCAGTTTTAACTGTCTGTCCTGAGAACTTTGATCTCTGTCATTTGATGGTGTTTGCTGATAAGCACAGTAATATTTGCTGTTGTATATGAGGTGTATTTAACTTGCCTCTAATGGCTGAATTTCACACTGATTTTGGTGGCTTATTTTCCTTGTAGAGATTCAGAGAGTAGACAAACCCATCTCTGGGAGATGTTATTTAATATCTATCAAAACAACCCCCACCACTTCTCTCTGAGCTTTGTCTCCCAGCTTGTTGTAATTTGTGAATAATTTGGAAGCTGGCTTTCCTGTAAAACAAATAAAAATAAACTCCATGCCTTCAGGATATGTGCAGGGTTTTTTTATAATAAATACTTGAAGGAAGAAGCTTTTGCAGTAAAGTTGGGAAATGCCCTGTGATTTTCTTTTCTCAGGTTGCAGAATCAGAATGCTGTGTGGATATGTTGGATTCCAACAGTTCCTGTCCAGCCACCAACCAGTGCAGCCCAGGTACAGATTGTCAGTGCTTAATAAAATCATGGGACGGTTTTTGGGTGGGGAAGGACCTTAAATTTTTGCCTCTTTGGGTAGGAAATACCCAAAGAACAGGAATAATTTGTCTCCAGTGTTGCTTTTTGTGCTTTTCATGCCTCTGTACCTGCTGTTCCTGTGCAGGTTGTTACAGGAGATGGAATGAGGATGGAAGCAGCAGCTGCATTAAATGCAAAAATGAAACCCTGCCTGTTTCCTCTGTTTACAACCTGACTGAGTGCAGAAATAGTGAGTCATTTACCACCTGTTTATTATGGGGTTTTTTTAGCCCTGACATCTTTTCTTTGCATCTTTGGTCCAGCAAAGACTCTTCAAAAGAAGGCCTCAAATATTGCAGATTTTTATTCCCCCTCCTTTGTAAAACTCCCAAAGTCCTCATATAACACCCAACAAAACCTATAGAAAGTTGGAAATTTAGTGCAAAGAAGCTGCAGAATGATGTGGAATCATCCTGAAAAAGGGGGGAAAAGCCCTTCAAAATCTTGTTGTGCAAAAGGCAAATACAGCATTAAATAAAAAGGATGAAAAAACCCAGTCCTAAACACTGAAATGATTAAACTCCCATTCTTTTTAATTGCAGGTGGTAGCAGAGGGATGAATTTCCAAATGAACATAAGCACTGTAACTCCTTTCATACAGAACATAGGTGAGGAAATGGTTTTGTGCTTATTCCCTGGGTAAAATAGGTTTTATTTCATTATTAGCTTTTGATTTCTTGAGCAGGGTTTATTCTAAGTGAAACAGCCTTTTTTTTTTTTTTTTTTTTTTTTTTTTTTTTTTTTTTTTTTTTTTTTTTTTTTTTTTTTTTTTTTTTTTTTTTTTTTTTTTTTTTTTTTTTTTTTTTTTTTTTTTTTTTTTTTTTTTTTTTTTTTTTTTTTTTTTTTTTTTTTTTTTTTTTTTTTTTTTTTTTTTTTTTTTTTTTTTTTTTTACCTTTCCTGGCTTATTCTCTTACCTTTTATGAATCTGAGCTGAATTTTGAGGTCATTCTTTTGCTGAATGATTCCTTCCCTTTGTGATCTACAAGTGATTTTCCTGGCACAGCTCGAGCTGCTTTATCAAACCACAACCAGCTGAGTTTTGAACCTTTAGTGCTGCAAGATTTTTGAGGGGTTTCAAACACTTGGACACTAGGAAGAAGGGCACAAATTGGGAATATTTAGGCAGCAAGAGTCTGGATAAAGTGATTTAGTGTTAGAAGGGGTTCGGTGTTTCCTAGAAGGCAAAGCTCCAACAGCCCTGGTAAATGTGAGAGCTGCTGATCCCTTCCTGATCTATCTTCTCATGTCTATATTCCTAATTTGAGGCATTTATTGCCCTTCAGAACATGCACTTCTCAAGCAGAGATTGAATATCAGGACTTTGATCTTTTCTCTGTCGTTTAACCCTTTTATCAGAAGCAATTTCTTTGTTTTCTCTCTCTTTATAACGTGGTGTTTTTTTTGCACAGGGGGCCCAGAAGTGGCAGCTTCTCTCATCTTGGGGACATTTTTCATCAGTTTGTTCCTGATTCTCTCTGTTGCTTCCTTCTTCTACCTCAAACGTGCCAATAAACTTCCTAACATTTTCTACAGAAGGAACAAAGGTAAAACTGCCCATTGTCTGTTAAATCTCTCAACTGTCTATTCAGTCTCTAAAATGAGCTCTGCTTGGTTTTAATTTGATTTAATTTCTTCCTGTGCGCTCTAACTCAGTGTAGCTGCTGCTGGTTTTTCTCATCATCCAAAGCAACTCCATTTTTATTCATACTTTCGTTTTTTCTGGCTCAAAGTGACATTTTTCCCGTTGAAACCTCTGGCTTTTCCTCCTTTGGAAGCAAAATAAGTCCCTTTGCAAGCCCTTATCTCCAGTCTTGAGTCCAACACACAGTGTATCCCACTGATGGATTTCCTTACTGTCCTGCTCTGCTTTGGGTGGGTTTTTGGGACAAAACTATTCCATGCATGGATGTATTTTTGGAAAAGGGTTCATCTCTCTCTTTCTCTTCTCTTTTAGCATCTGTTCTCCAGCCTAGTGAAACAGTAAGTAAATCCTGCTCTTCCAACAAGCAAATAAAGCATCAACTAAACCATAATTTAGGTTTTAATAGCTCATTAATGAGCTCCTTAATCTGATAGATGAGACTGAAATAAAAATAAAAGATGCTTCGGGGTTATTTGTCCAAACTGGGGGGTGAAAACGAATCCAGACCATCTGGATTTCTGGCTCCCACTGAGTGATTTTTTTTTTTCTCCCTCCCAAGAAAAACTATAGACAGTAAATATTATTGAAACCCTGCAGCGTTGCTGTGTTTTTGTTTTTGTTTTTTTTTTTAATGAAAGGCTGTGAAAAAGCTCTTTGTTTGACATGATAATTCTCCTGTTCTGTGCAGGCATCCATGATACCTCCCCCAGCTTCTTCAGGTGAGGAACTGCTGCCTGGGATTTGCTGCTCCAACTGTTTCACCCCAAAAGCAGGGGAAAAAAACTTCTCTCCGTGCTAAGAATCCCCAGCAAGTCCAAATAATCATCTGTAAAGCTGGTTTAGAACTGGTGGGATCAGTTGTGGGGACAGGAATCCAATGAGATCTGTCCAGTTAAGGGCCTTTTGGATGGGTTTTATTGCTTTAATTAATGTAGGCACTGGTATTGATGGAGCACTCGAGGTGAAAATGGATCTGTGACAGCTCCTAAAATAGACCTTCCACTCCTCTGTCCTCACAGAGAAGTCCTACAAGGAGATGCAGTATTTTTTTTTCATGGGTAAATTATTCAGTCTCTGGGTTTATTTTCAGGATTAGATTCTTCCTGGCAGTGCCAGGTTGGCTCATTTTCAGACTTGCTGGTTTGAAGCTTTCTCAGCCTCTTGAAAAACAGCTTTCAGAGGCTGCTTGGAACACACTATTTTGGAAGGGGTGTGTTGGTATTTTGGCTCTTCTGGGCAAAACCCATGCAGAAATGAATTTCTCAGGGAAGATTTCCTCTCACCAAGATGGTGTCATTAAAAATTAATATTTTTTTTAGCGCACTCTTTAACTTTCAGACGTTTTGAGATGTGTCCCGAACTCGGGCAGGGCCATTGAACTGACAAGTGCTGCTTGTGGAAAGTCTTGGTTTCTTTGCCTTTAATTTATCCACCTGAGGGAGGGATTTTTAGCCCCTTGCCATGCCGGCCCACCTTTTCCATGAGGAAATTAGGGATAAGGGCGTGTTTATCAGCAGGTGCTGACGATGTCTCTGTGCCTTTCAGTCCGGAAGCCGCGATACGTCCGCCGGGAACGGTCCCTGGTCACCTCCACCTCCGCTGCCATCATCTCCTCCTCTGACACCAGGGTCAGCAACGTTTAGCCTTCACTCCTGACAGAGGACTGGGAGCGTTCATGGTATCAAAGACCCTTTTTCTCTGAACCCACTGAAGTGCCAGGAAAACGTTGCAAGCAGCTGACCCTGAACAGAAACCAAATTCCCGCGTGCGAGGGTTTGTGCCAAACGTCCTCCCGGGGCTGAAGTGCTGGAGGTGACACCCCCTTCCAGGAACTCCTCTGCAATGCACTATTCCAGCTCTGGGGGCTCCTTTCTCTCCTGCAGGTGCTGTGTTTGAAATCTGTAAAGAATCTGCCTTTTCTTTGGAACTCTCCCTGTTCTTGGCGAGTTCTCCCTCCCCGTGTTGTGACAGTGTCCCTGTGTCCCCAGGGCTGACTGGCTCCACAAAATCCCGGGAATGCTCCAGGCTGTGGACTTGAGGAAGGGAGCCACTTGTGAGTGGGAACACTGAAGTGCCACAGCTTTACCAACACAACAATAATTAACGTGCAGAATCCTTTGGGAGCAGGAAGTGATGCCCTGTGGAGCATCCTGTGCCACAGCTGACCCTGGGGTTTAACTGTGACTGTTGACCCACCCTCCTGCCACTGCTGCTCCTGCTGCTTTGGAAGGCCATGCTCAATATGGGGGAATTTTTGAGGGGGGAAGTTTTTCTCGATTGGGTTCAGCTCAATCCTGGGATAAAGAGCTGCTTGCTGGGGCTTTGCAGCTGAGAGGCTGCAACGTCTGTCCCCTGCTGGCTGGGCCACCTGGGAGAGCAAAATTCCTGTCAGGCACCCCAGTGAGGGGTGGGATGAACTGGAGAGGCCAGGGGGATTCCTGCCAATGCAATAAGGGCTGTCTTTGGTCAGGCCCTTCACCAACACACCTGAAATCTGCAGGCCAGCACCTTAAGACAGAGCTCAGCAGGGATTTCCTTCTTCAATCACCAGCCTAAAACCCCCCCGCCCCAACACCCTGGATGTTGTCCCTGCCCTCTCTGTGTGCCTGAGGAGTTGCTCCCTCAGGGAATTAGAGGAGCTGTAAAATCACTTTTTTTTCCTGCCTAGATTCTCCCTCCCCAGTTCTTTTCCTGGCAGGGGTGACTCTGTTGCCATGTGAACCCATACTGGGCATACTGGGATGGGCCTGAGAGTGGGTGACTGGGAAAATCAGTGGGAAAAAAAAAAGGTTGCTGAAGTGGTGGAAGTGTCACTGTCACCTTCTGTGAATTCTATCTATGCATCCCCACCTACCTGTGTTGCTGTTGCCTCTTTTGGTTGAGCTGCCACTCCACTCTGGCTCTGTGCTCCTAAAATAAATCCTTTGGAAGCTTTTCCTCAGCATCCACTGGCAGGAATGAGGAACTGGAACAGTTGGCTCTCCTTTTTTTTTTCAGGAAAATGAGAATAAAACTGTCTTGTTCTGACAGTGTCACCCATATGGAGGGCCCAGAACTTGTGTCATCCACATTCCCTCTTCTCTGGGGTTAAAAGCTTCTTCCCAAAGAGGACAACTGGGATGGGAGGAGATAAATTTATCTCCTTGAGTAGAGCCATTTTCTGGAAGTTGCAGTGCAGTTGTATTTTTGCTCCCTCACAGGTAATGAGATCCTTGTAAAAATCTGCAGGGGATAGCAAAGAAAATCATGAAGAGGTTCCTGTGCCAAAAAAACCAAACAAAAAAACCCCTGAAACTTCACATTGATGATAAATAAAATTATTGATCTACCAGACAGGCAGTGCCAGTTTTCAGCTTTCCAGGGGAAATGTGCTTTATTTGGGATGCTCCCAAACTCCTGAGCTTCGGGAGGTGGCACTTTCGTCGCTGTCACTTCCATGTCTTTTTGTCTTCGTGCTGCTGAGATTTTTCCCACAGGCAGAAATCATGTCTGGAGCTTTTCCCTGAACTGACTTGCTGAGTGTTTCCCTGACTGCTGAGGAAAAGGAGTAACTATGCAAACAATGCCGAGAAACTGCACCTTTGGAAGCAGGGAGCTTGTATTTGTGACCCTGTCTGTGGCAGTGCATTCTTGTGTTGCTTAGTTGCTAATATATTCTTCTTTTTTTGACCCAGAAATGACTGAAGGATCAGGTCACTGGAGTGTCTGAACCCTCTTGATCCTCGAGTGCGCGTTGTAACTTGGTTTAATGTCCGGTATCTAAAGCTCTAATTCTGTGCAGTCGAGTTTTTCTCGGTGACAACACCTCTCTCACACCCAGCAGACTTTTAACTCCAGCAGAGATTTGTACTATTTTCTGTGTTTCTGGTTTTGTTGCTGTCTAACCCAGTGAATTCCTGGTCTAAGCAGTTTGTTTGCACTGTCAAATTAAATATCTAACGTGGTGGTTTGGTGTCCTCCCCCATCTCCCTTGACGATAATAATGCACACCTAGATATGTTTTAAAAAAAAAAAAATTGGCTTTAATGATCCCTGATATTTAATGTATTTGTATATTTTTTAACTGTGTGCCAAAATAAACATATTTGAGCTTTCTTTTCATTTTAGTGGCTGTGGGGCTCATTCAAGTGTTTCCTTTTCAAGCAGGGAATGAAGGGAGCAACATTAGCACCCGAAGCAGATCGTGGTTGCAGCTCATCTGGCTTGTTACTTCCACCAGAAACTGAAGCTAAAATAAACAAGCAAAAACAGTTTGGTGACTGTTCCTGCCCAGTTTCACAGTGGGATAGTCAGGCTGTGTCAGAAAAATTGTATTTTCATGCCCTTAAAAATCCTAAAAAAGCCTTACCTGTAGGAACTCTTTTTGGCAGAGAATGTACCTTCGGTAGATGACAGCTTTCACATGAGTTTAAGTTCTCTTCAGTCTCCTTCAGGGAGCAGGAGGAGCAGGAAAACTCAGGGACAAACATGGCAGGAATTGAGAAAATCGGGACCATTTCTTCGTGATTGAAATTAAGGTGATGGCCTGGGGTTTGGGAAGGTTGGATATCATCCCCCCCACCTGATCTCTGCTTCATTTTTAGAAGTGATTTATTTTTCCTCTCCTTTCCCTTCCCTCCCTGAGAATTTGGGGCTTCCTGCAAACATATCCACAGGGATATGTACCCACCATGCACAGTCACTGTCAGAGCCTCATCTGAGCAGGAACGGGCTTGGAAAACGATCCCAGGGGGATGAGGAGGCTTAAATGGGCTCTGAGCACCAAGGTGGAACAACCTCTGGAGGAGGAGGAGGAGCTGAGTGTCCTTGTCATCAGTCAAGGAGCTGGCAGGGCTGGCAGTGGATGTGTCCCCACCGGGGAACAATTTTGGAGGCTGCATTTTGCACACCCGAGCGGAGCTGCTCCCTCATCTGCACCTCAAGGTGAGTGCTCTGACAGTCACTCCTTAAAGTGATGAAGTCAAAAAGCTCAATCAAATCTCCTCCCCAGCTCCAGGCCCTCAGAAATTACGTTACCCCCACACACTCTGAAACGTTTTTCTGGGTGAAATGCGTGAGTTTGGCCAGACTGAGGGATGAAGATTTTGTGCAAACATCATAACTCGGGTTCCAACCTCCCCTCCCCGAGGGATTCATAATCAAAGTTCACAGCAACCTGTGTTCTCAACTTCCCTCTTGTGTCTTCCTTTGCAGGGTGGTTTATTCTTTTTCCCTGCCTCCATTAAAAGGGATCTCTGCTTGGAAATACAACTGTAAAAGAAATGGGAGTGTGTGTGGTGGACATACAACAACCTGAGTGCTGACAGGAAAAACAGGAACAGGGTTTTTTTTTTTGCTCTTGTCCCTCCACAGTTCCCCAGGATGTGATCTAAGAAAATGGGAGAGCAGGAGAGAATCCTAAACTGCTAAAAAAAAAACCCCTTGAGGCTCTCTCAGCTCCTTGAGATTTGTGGGTAAGTGGCAGGGGGGATTGGATGCAGTGGTCACTGGCTCCTGCCAGAGCTCAAGGAGTGTTTGGACAGGGCAGGATTGTTGTGCCAGGAGCCGGATTTTGATCCTTGTGGGTCCCATCCAGCTCAGGCTGATTGCATGAAACGCCGTGTGTGACCTGCTGGCACCTGCAACCGATTCCTTGCCCCCCAGAATTAATTTATTTGTCGTTTTTAGTGCTTTCAAATCAAACAACTCGCTTCAGACACCCCCCAGGGCTCAGGGGTCTTGCACCCCCTCTTTGCTCCCCAAGGCTGGGAGCGAGCTCTGCTGGAATATCTGAAGCTGCTTTGCATTTTTGTCATTTATTTTTAATGCTCCCTCAGCGAGGGGTGGGGTGGGGGGGTGAGGGGTGGGGAAATGAAATGATAAAGTGTTTATTATCACTTTAATGGCCTTGACATATTTTTTATTGCCACCAGATTGGAGGCCCCGGCGTTCTGATAATTGTGCTTGCCGTTTCAGAGCCTGGTGATTTATGGCCCTCAGGAAAGGAGTGTGCAAAAGTGGTTTTAGATGAAGGTTTCAGAAGGATGGGCTGCAGCTCTGAGGGGTCTGCTCCAAGTGATTGGATTTTTTTTCCCCCACTCCCTGTTCTGGATCAGGGGGGTTGGATTCAGACGTGTCCCCCCTGATTTTGTGATGGGGGTCGGTTATAAAATTTTTATATATTAAAAATATATTTATATATTTTTTTTAAATATATATATATATCACAGAATCATGGAATGGTTTGGGTTGGAAGGGACTTTAAAGATCATCCACTTCCACCCTTCCACACCTTCCACTATCCCAGCTTGCTCCAAGCCCTGTCCAACCTGGCCTAAATATAAATATATATGTATTTATATATATATATATATATATATATATATGCACACAGACACACACACAGAATGGAGCTAATTTTAAATGCTGCTCAAACTCTTTTTTTTTTTTGGCAGAGCTTGAAACAGCTCCAGAAACGTTTTGAGCAGTAATTGCGCTGCAGATAATTCAGGAATAAGTTAACCACGGGGAGGCATCTTGTTTGCATATGCAATGTGATAGATTACATAAGGAACTGCTGCTTTAGAACGTTTTGGGAAATGAGCTGGGAGTGGGAAGGTTCAGGACCTCGCTTGACTTGAGGGCACTTGTGATCAGCTCTGCCTGCCACGAGGGGGGAAACGCTTCTCATTCAGCAGGAGCTGCCAAGTCACATCAAGCCCCAAATCATTCCTGGCTGCTGCAAAATGTGGGTTTGGCAGCCCTGGTTTGGCCATGGCCCTCCAGAACTGGGAATTCTGGTGATTGGGTGGGTTTTCCAGAGCGGTTCTGTTGCTGCTGCCCTCCCTGCAGAGCTGCAGTCGAGGGTGATCTGCATCATTTCCCATCACCACGACCCCTTTCTGGGTGAAAATGGAGCTGGGAAAACAAACAAACAAACAAAAAACC